ATAATCCCCCCTCGAGGGCAAACATGCACGAATGAAGTGAAAACAAAAAAACAAAGAAAAAAAAAACAAGAGGAAATATGAATAATTAGTGATGGAGAAGATTAGTACGGTTTGCATGGGAGTAAAAACCAAAAATTTTACTTGAGCATTCCTTGACGTCACTCCTCAAGAAAAAATGATCAGGCTATCGGAAGTATTGTTCCTGGAAGTTTGTGCGAGTGGGCAGAATGAAAAAACTCCCTTTCAATTAGATCAGGATGTCAGTTAGGGATATCCTAACCAAAACTTCACTAGCTTTGCTTACGTACTGTCATAACGGATTCAAACAAAGACCGATAGCTGTCATAGATAATGCAAAACAGTCGTAATTTTAAGCGGCATCGATCACGAGCGTGGAATAAAGAAAATGTTCCTTCCTCGTAGGACTTATCAATGTCTAGGCCTGATACCTAAAAAGAAAAGACTGAGCTACGTTTGTGAACTAGGACATACACTAAGCTCCACAATAAATAATGGTTATGGAAATCCTGGTGATGCAATTAGGGAAAATATGGAAAAAAACCCCTTTCGATTACATCCGGATGAAAGAAATGTAACGGACATTCAAACCAAAATCCATTAGTTTTGCTTACGCACTGTTACAGAGAAATCAAACAAAGGACGATCGTTATCGAAGATGTACTTAAACACTTGCTGTGTATGTATTGGGCAGGTAACAGATATGACGTTTTTCCTTTCGACATTTTGTTAGTAATCTTTTAGAGTTTCCGTACCCTTTTAATGACGTCAAGACATTCAGTAAGAGACAAAAAGAGGTGTTTTGTTGTGTTGGCACTCTTACACTATGTTTATTTACCACTGGACGTGTTCCTTGGCTATTTTCGTGCGTTGCTAAGATACGTGCTTAAGAAAGAGACATTAGTAGAGCAGTGCTTCGCGACGTCGATGAAACGTGCTACGATTCATATGACAACTGAAGTTGTCAAACGCGAACGTGGAAAAGTAATCATCATCAATCGATGTTTAACGATCGACAGGCCATGGCGTCAATTAACCATCAACTGCGTAGACTCAAAAATTAGTTCTAGGGTAAATTCTGAGCGATGATTCTCAGCCTTTCTTTAATACGTGAGTTCGAGCATTATATTTTGGAACATCAATTATTCTAAAAGTTCACAAGCCTTGAAATAAACTGGCACATAACCAAGAAAAAAATGATCGTAGGGTGAAGTCGATTGAAAGATACTTTACTGCTTATCATAACAACTACGTGCGCTGTAATGGGTAAATTTAGTTGGCATTTCTTTTACTGTTCGACCCGCTTAACGTCTAAAGCTGCTTCCG